CCCGTTCGAACTGTATATAGTATACGGCAAGAAAAAAAAACCCGCGAAAGCGCGAAACAATAAGCCGTTATACATGTGTAAATCGCATTGTTCAGGACGCGCATAATTTGCTAATTTAAATCATTTTAACAGGGTTCCTAAATATATACGCACGCGAATGATATAATACGTAGAGCAGAAAACGTTTAATGCGCGCTGTCCATTTAAATAATATTACGGTGGTACACGTTAAACGTACAAATACGAAACACGTGTAGTTTTTTTTTTTTGTCCCCCTAAGTACTAATAAAAAAACACGGGTAGACCTAACGCTGCGGTCAACCGGCCGGAACGACGGACTGGATATTATAATACGTACACATATTCGTGTGTAAAGGTGCTTACCACGGCGACGTGTGCTCGTGTTAGTATACATATATTAGCTCGTCCGTTTTACACGCGAGATAAAGTCATAATGTTGTTATTATTATACGTCGGCGACTGTAAGAACGTTTTGATAATTATCGAGGTGATAATTAAAAAAAAAAAAAAAGTAAAACAAAATGTAAAAAAACAAATATGTAGAAATATAAGATCATGTACTGCGATATGCAGACGTACTGGTGTTTATATCAATTGCGTTTCGGTTCGCAGGACAGCACGCTCACTCAAACGCACACGGATTCGATAGTAATCTGATCGTAAGTGCGTGCGCGTATATTTATCGTTGCCGAAGCAAAACTTTTTTTCGCTCGAGTCGCGCGCTGGAGGATATCGAGAAAATTACTATTATACACATATACGTCCGCATTAAATCATAAACCATGACAAGGGTAATCCCATTCGATTGCGAATGACGTATACACGAGTGAAATATCGAGAAGACTTTGTGCGCGAAAACGGATTTTTTTTTGTACTTGTGCGCAATGCACGTAAATAAATGCTTAAATTTGCAATTTTTTTTTTCGGTTTACGTGTGTGTGTTTCGCCACGGTACAATGGGTGCGCGCTTGTATCACGCGGAGAACGCAAGAAGTCGGACGCGGCGCGAGACCACTGCGAACCGCGCGGACAAAAATCGTCCGTGATGCGAACGCCCTTCGCGAAAACGCTAAAATCTCATTGCCGTTTCGACCGTGCGCGTTGTGCGGTACACGTATATAACACTACATATACCTACGTGTTATAGTATAAAATCACGTATTTTTTTTTCTTTTATTCCGTTCGATTTGTGTACTCTTTTATTGTTCCGCGAGCGGTAATTTTTTTTTTTTTGCAGCTCTCGTGGCCGCGCAGCAGCTACCGCGGCGTCAGCTATTCGTACGATCCCCGGTCTTCTTGTCACCGTGGATTCGCGGCAAAAATTATTCCGAAATAAATTTACGCGCGTCATGACCCTCGCGCAGGAGGCGTGCGTGTGCCCTTACCGCTGTGCACACGTAACGTTATCGGGCCGTGGCATGCGGTCGTCGCGTATATTATAATAAAACAAACCGTAATAGAAAAGTTGTGCAACGCCGAAGGATTGCTGCGAACAACGTAATTGTTATTGTTATACCGCGCGCGCTCGTTGTACGGTCGACGACTAGGTGTGGGCGCACGGGGTGTGAACACGCGCGCGAAGAAATCGAATAAGAAGACATTGTGGGAGATTTGGCGAACGGAATATAAAAAAATAAAAACTCGCGATAGAAGTCGCGCGCACGCGCCGGAAGAGCAGCAGGCGGCGCGAGGGGAATCATAAACGATGCGATGACAAACGCGCGTCGTTTTCCATTTTGTCCGTGCACATATATTATTTATTAGGTATTTGCGACGATATTCGTTTTTCATTATTAATATTTTTATTATTATTATTATTATTATTGTGCGGAACGTGCGCGTATTCCGTTAACGCGCACGGTGGTAAAAAAATAATATGTCGATGGCGGTCGACGACGAATTCGGTACGTACTCGCGCGCGTACATAATAGAGATTTATATCGCGCGAAGTCGATTACGATGCGCGCGCGTACGCGACGACGAAAGTCGTACATTACGATAGTAATAATAATAATAATAATAATAATAATAATAATATAATGTAGCTGCTACTCACGCTGTATACCAACGCATATAATAAGAATATACAACAATCGATAAAATTCACAATCACGCGACAAGTTTGTATAACAATAATAATTTATACCGTATATACGACAACAACAATAATAATAATATTATAATCGTTTTTTTTTTCGCGTTTCGTCGCACAATTCATGCGTGCAATTTTCATCCCACGCCATCTCCTCTACGCGCGTAACATAAGTAAGTCTCAGCTCATGTCGTCGACGTGCGTAACCGATTAGCCGTGCCAAGGGTGTCACGCATGTGTGTGTATTTAATAAATAAATTGCGACACATTATCTTGTGTTTTCCGTATTATTGTACAGCGAATCAGTCGATATATCGCGGTGACGACGACTGCGCGACTGTGCGATTCACGCACACGAATATCTGCAACGACATCATCGCATCCTTACCGGCGTGCGTAAATACCACAACGTTTGGGTACGAATAATCGAAACGACGACGACGACGACGATGATGATGCGCGCTCGACCTAAACGCACATCATTATATTGTCGATTCCAAACTCATATTATAATATGATCGGACGTACAGGTTATATATTATTATAAATACGTATGAGCGCGCGCGAGCAAAGTACCGCATTAATATTCACGCACGGTTGTTGCATATGCTAACCTGTACAACAATCACACTATTTTTTTTTTTTTAATATTTAATTTTTAATTTTTTTTTTCTATTTTTTCATACGCATTTATATTCACAAACATAAAATGTACGACACACCCATTATTCTCCGTTGGCTTTCTAGAGCCGATTTGCACACAATACCGAAACGTTTAATGGCTCTCGTCGTCGTCGTCGTACTACGCCTTGTCTAATGTTGGCCGATCCTTAAGTGTGGCGCGCGCGCGCACACACACACAAACACACGCAAACAGATATACGTTTTCGGTATATTCTTCGATGAATTATTTTACTGAACTCACACACACACACATTATCAAATTCCCGAGGCGTCGTCGTCGCATGGTCGTTATAATATTGCCGATTCGGAGGGGTAATTATGATAATTTCGCGTCGTAATTATTTAGTGATTTTTTTTTTCTTTCCAGCCGAACCTCCTTAACGCATCGCCCGATGATCTCCAAAAAGCTTCTCCGCTCGGCGACCGGACACGCCTCGCGTAGGAAACTGGCGTATAATATGCAATATAATTGTGAATGTGCATGCGAGTATATTACAATATTGCGATCGCTATACGATGAGTATATGTACAGAGAAATCAATAAGATCGATAAACTCTTTTCGGCTCTTCACTAGTATATTCCCCCGTTGGACTACGTACGGAATATTATTGTCTGGTTGGACGCACCGTAGCTCCGCATGAATAAAATTATTTTGTAAATCCGCAACTCCGCATGTAGTGTAACTCCGCACGGTCAAAAAAATTAGCGTACAGTAGCTCCGCATTCTAAAAATATTTTTAACACCAAAAGTTCGCACGGCATAAAATGGTGAGACTTTTCATACCAAATTTGGTAATTTCTATACTTAAGCATATCCAAATATTGCAGTTTTCATTACAAACTTATTAGCTATGCAGACGGATTTTTTCATACAAATTAATTCTGCTAATAATAATGAAAGTAGGATAGTTAGAACTAAACAAAAAACCAATATGGAATTCATAAATAAAAACATAGAATTATATAACAACGGCCAAAATTATAGATATAATTTTGTTATAAGTTTGGCACCATTTAATAATATTTAGTTTTAATTTACATTATAATTTTATTACATTTAATTTTATATGAACGACGACGATGTTTGTTGTAAATTGTCTTTATTATAATAAATTTTTTTAGTTTATAAGATTTTAGTTGTTACTACAAATAAATACTTAGAATTGTATAACGACGGCCAATTGATAGAATACTGATTGATTTTTTTTTTAATGATGTACAAAAAGGTCTACAAAAATGATGTGCGGAGTTAGGGTTTTATAAAAAAGTAACTATGAGCGGAGTTAGATTTTTATAAAAAAATAATTATGTGCGGAGTTAAGATGTAAAAAAAACCTTGTATGCGAAGTTTAAGTGATATATTACAAAATGGCCACGATACATGTGCAGTTGGTCATGTGATGCAAGTGCACCAGACTGGTCATGCGTATCCTGTAACAGAACACACTATTCGTACATGACACCGTGTTCAACGCTCGTTGACCAGGTCTTTGCACGAACAAGGCGAGCGGTGAGTGGGTGAAGCGGACGGGGTCGACTCGTCCCTGCCGTTACGAATGCGATCGGGCGCGCGAACGTTTTATTTTAAATATTCCGAGTATATACACGTATGCGAGTACAAATCGTTTTGCCGCAAGTCAACTTTCAACAAGGGTCATGTCGTCAGTCGTCATTCTTTTCGTTCCTTCGTCGACAATACCGTAGTTACACTCCTAACGTCCTGCCGCCCACCTTACATTCGATTTTCCTTACACGTTCGTGTGAAGGCGTAAGAGTTACAACTTTCCGGGGAGCAAAGGCCGCGTTGTATCTATAAACGCACACACGTGTACGTGTACACGATTGTTGCGAAAGGAACAAAAAGCTATCGATTGACAAGGCATGTGATACATACATATGTACGTGGAGGAAAAAAAGGTTTCTCGATAATACACGGAGTGGCGGCGCCGTTGCTTTTAAAAACTAACAAGACCCGTTTGAGAAGTACGACCACACACATACACGCACGCACGTAAACGTACAAATATATAAATATACGAGCAATTGGAAATCGGTGAAAAGTGTGCGTTGTCGCGTGGTGCATCGTTTGGTGCAGGAGACCGCTGCACTTGGGACTCGATGCAAATCGATGCACGATATAATATATTTATCGGTCTTGGTGTGCGCGCAAAGTTCGTGCAGATAGTGTAGTGTCGAAATTACCTTTTGAGTCGGTGAAGACGGAGCCGAATTCGCCGGGCTCGACCGCGGACTGGGAGATGAGACGCTGGCAGGCTTGTGGTGCTGCTGGGCGGCTAGCAGTGGCAAGCCCAGCGCCGGATACAGTCCCACGCCTCGGGCGGCCAACGATTCCAATATGCGACCTGCAACAATAAAATTAAACCGTTGTAATGTACAGATATTGTTAATAAATTTTTTTTTCTCCATCGGAAACACATGTATACGTATAAACGGAGAAAAAGTCTGGCGCACAATACGTGAAATGTACATTAAAAACTTGTGTATGTGTGCGCGAGCGCGCGTACGTATTTACATAATCAACGCATTAGTCATTGTGTCACAGACGGACGTGAAATAAGGTAAACACGAAACCGGAGCAAAAATAAAAGATGGAAAAATCGTGCTCTCTCTCGCTCGATGAACCGCGTGCATAGAAACCGACGACGACGCCTTTGGGGCAATTTTTGTATACCTGTCAAGATAAGCATTTTTATAAACGCGCTGTGCATATTATGCTCTCGTATGGGAGCAATGCACGCGCGTACATGTAAATGTAGGTACGTGTAATATATTTTTTATTTCATATTTGTATCGGTGTTGGAACGCCCCGGGCATCAGTAGCGCACACACACACACACACACATACACACACACCGGCATGTTTATTATGCGTAATGAAAATGCGGTTCGTACGATATTATATTTATTATTATTATTATTCGTCTTATTATTTATCGTCTTTGAATAAGACGCGAACACACGTTTATCATTTTTACTCTCTTTCTTTTGGCGAAAATCGTGAAGTGAATATTTTTTTTCCCGCAATAAATCGTGCAAGAAGTTATACAAAAGTCGAAAACGGAGAAACGACCAATGTCAAAAATCCCCGAGTGCCTGACGTATCTAGAACGACGAACGTGACGACGACGACTACTACTACCTACAATCCAGTCGCCGACGTGGTGGTCGGCGGACACGAGGAATACACAAATTCGATATTACCGACCGATTATGAACATGTCTACTGCTACGTTGCGGACGAGATTAGCATTTTTCTTTCTATCCGAACAAAAACGTTATCGTTTTAATATTTCTACACGTGTAAGGGGGAGTGAACTCATGTCTCGAACACACCACGGACTAAATGTCTGTTAAAATATTTAATATGAATATGTCATTGAAAATAATAGAAAAACTGTATCGCTGATGAAAAAACACACGATTTAGCATTAGTGAATGAAATCCATTGTCCTGAAAAGTATGTGTACACGGTACATACATAGGAACTGCTAAGATTAATTCAACTGGTACGTGTTTTGGTTTTACTAAACGATGATATACCAAATACAGTTATTCTATATACCTATCAATAATTTATTTTCCGAACACCTGCGTGTTTTTTGGAACCGTTACGTGTCGATAGCCAACGTTTATTTATTGAAATAAATCATTGACTCTCGGACTAAGCTAGATCATAAATAATGATAAATAAATAATCGAAGTATTTTCTGGGTATAATATGGATATATGTATATATCAAAAACCCTTTTAGTTTTCCACGTCTTTCCTAACCCACGTCGTCTTAAGAGTTGACCTTTTATCTGCTTTGTTTACTTTGATCGTTCGACCACCAAGCGTGCTGTGTCTTAAAGGATTTAATCGTTTTTTTTTTTTTGAGTATACATAGTATGTTTGCCTAATCACTGCGCGCTCTGTATACCATAGTATAATAATATAATAACACCTCCTCACTGGCATGTGTCTAAATATTATGTGTACATATTTTAATATGTGATTTTTTTTTTCAAAATGTTCCTAAATATTCCTAAAAACGCCTTATGTGGTTTTCCGTGTTGTTTAACCAGTCGTTATTTTTTGGAAACGTGTAACGTTTTATGTAAATACCTACGCCCATTATCGTCGTCAAGTTACCGTTGTCATTTAGTTAATCTCGTCGACACGGATCCCATGCGGACGGTAATCGCCAGGTTCATGTTTTTATTTTCGACTTTATTTCTTATTTTTCTTGAAACATTTTTCCCCCCAAAATGACTACATCGCGTGAGAAGTCGAATGATGGGGGCTCCGGTTATTCATTTACATGTTAACTTAAACAGTAGTTTCTACTACTGGAATATTTTACTAATTTATTGGTTTTTTTTATTTTGCCCTCATAAAGCTATTTTTTCTTACGAATATGTATACCCGCATAATATTTCCGTGAACGTGCGCGTATACACATTTGTACACATATATATTGTACATCTAACGTATACAACAAACGATGATATATACGTATAATATGTTGGTCGCGATCTGCATTTCACCCTGTTCGCGTGGACGAGTTCAATCCGTTTCCCATTGTGATTCAGGGACCCGTAAAAGTGGAGCACAATGCTAAAGTAATGTGACACCCGGTTAGCAGAAAAAAAAATAAAAAAATATTGTTCGAGTGTTTCGGTTATAATATTTTGTTCCCGTCATTACCGTCTTAATCCGCGTGCTTGCGTGCGTGTTGGGGAGGGAATATATACCGTCCGAAGAGACCCTCGATCCCCGTGTCGCGCACACTTGTCTAGCCCCTTGTATTTTTTGCACACATATTTCTACACGAGGGTTTCCGTAAAACGGGTAAATATTATTTGCGGTGGAAACTGTTAATAACCGTACACATGCACGCACGCACTCGTCCCCGTATACTACTGAACGCACGTACACATAAGCACGTAGTCCCCTTCGGCAGTTTGATATCCTCATTATTATATTATGTATACGCGACGCGCAGACACATGGGGAGATCAATTGAACAGGTTAAAAGCTATATAAACGAGAGAGAGGTTTTTTTCCTCTATACTCCGCATAATATCCTGGGACCGGGAGAATTTTTTTACGTTTTTTAAAGGGGACTAATGGATGACATCCTATTTTGTTCCCACCGTGTTTGGGCGTTTAACCCGGAATATGATTTTGCGAAAAAACACTGTAATAGCAGCTGACAAGATAGATACCTCTATTTTTATATATAAAATTCTATTATATATGTATGATTGTGTGTGTGTATGTGTGTACTTGCGAGTGTACGAGCGATGACGCGCCGTCTATTGTCGCAAACTCGGCTGGATACTTTTGCATTTATGTTGGATTTGACAATAAAAATAATAGTAATAATAGGTAATAATAACAAAAAAATAAAAAATAGAAGGCTTCGATGATAGAGTTAGATTGCGTGTGAATGGCGAAGATCGTTTTTTTTCCTCCTAGTCCTTGAAACGGGTGACAATAAATAAATAAATAAAAATACTAACGGCCTAGAGAACCCCAAAGTTCTTTTCCCTTTAAAAAAGTTTTTTTTCGTCGTTCGTTGACGCATAATATTTCAACGGATAATAAAATACACTGCGGCTGTATATTTATCATTTATATATAAATGTGTGTGTGGACCGCACAATTAACGCATCCATACGTGCCGCGTACTCGCCAAGTATACATAATATTGTACGCCACTCGTTTAATGATGTCGTGCAATATATTATATATTATTATATGCAGTTGAATCATGTTGAAACTATGTTTATCGTTCTACTGCCGGTGAGGAAACGTATTCGGGAAAAAATTTTTCTTACACGCGCGTACGAATCTTTACCCAGACTCGCGCCCGCGCGCGCATATCACATAGTAGTTACTAAATTATTATTCATGATTTTTTCGGTCATTTTGGACGGGTTGTTTATTTAACTATCCGAAAAATTATGCATAATGCTATATAGAGTACATCCGTTCAGCAGTAATGATTAATTTCTACGAATTTTAATGAATACGTTTTGTTAATACACATTTATACACTCACACACGCGTGTACCGCGGTATGAAATATTAATGAATATAATAGTTCATTATTTCCGGGCAACTGTCTAGAATTATTATTTATTTTTATGATTTTTTTTTTTTCGTTGAAAAAATGGAGATCGTCACAAGTGACTGACTATGCTGGTTTTTCGACGAATTGAAATTCAACAAATCCCGATGTGAAAAAAAATAGAAGGAAGAAAAATGTCAGAAGATATTAAGACGTTTTTTATTTATTTATTTTTTTTTCACCGCATTTGACTATAAACGCATCCATCCATCGGACTAGTTAACAAACGCCGCTACAAACAATAGACTGAACATTTTCCACGTGAGTGATTTTCGTACTCGTAAGGAAGCAGTTCTTTTACCAAAAACAATGTATACAGTCCATCGAACCATATACTTAAATAGTAAATATTAGAAAGTATTTTCTCGAAACGTTAGCTCCGAGTTATTAAACGAAAATTGATACCAAAACTGTACTAGTGCATTTCACCCGTTGATCGATGCGAATAAATATAATGTTAGTATCTCCCATTGTTATACTCGACGATGAATGATCTGTAATCGTTATCGTGCGTGTTACATCTGCTATGAAATTGTTTGAAAAACAAAATTAATAAAAATAAAAACCACGTCCGTACAAAACATTGATTATTTTAACGTTTACAAGCTATACATAAAAACGATAATAATTTATGAATTAACGACGTGTCTACGGTTGAGTCATGTGTTTACAACATTCGATTCATTAGAAAAATCATATTTACATTTTATTAACGTATTCAAATATTAATAAATCGAATGCGGAGAGCGAGAACAGTCGAACGTACAGTGTTTTTACGGACGAAAAACAAAAAATAAAAATCTATTTGTACACATGCGCGCTTATAATATATTTTATACGGTTAATATAATATTTAAACACACAAATGTGGCGTGTATGGAGCGCGCGCGTCGTATGGGCCACTTGACGAACAGTGGAATTCATTGAGCACACAAATCTGGCGTGTTCCTACAATGTGTTTAACTTAAAAAGTTCTTTAAAAAGCGTACGCGCGTGTGGTGTTGTTTAAGTATATTTTTCTTTTTTTAAAGAAAAAAAAAGACGGAAAGAGTGGCGGAGAGAGAGACGGAGAGAAAGAACACTGCATAGTAATGAACGTGCTGCTGTTGGCGTACAATAATACGGAATATGTAGAAAACGTGGCTCGCACTCGTCAACAGCGAACGCCGTATTCGGTAAATCAAAACAGTTGCGTTCGTATTGATCGCGGAGTGACGTAAGCGTTTT